GTGCATTCACACGCCTTTTGATTTTGGAAGAATTGACAATTTTTTTAGCTTGTCATGTCTTCAGCAGACTTTTAAAGAATTTTGATTTTAAAAACAAATTTTGTTATTTATTTCTTATCTGTCACTTCTGAATGAAATGTATATCAAGCACGGGTGGGTTATTTGTAATTTATTGAGGTGGAAGTAAATGGAATCATTCGAATGGGGTTTGTGAAAAATAGAGCACTTGTGTATCAGTAAATGGTATACACATTCCTAACACTGTGCAACAAAATATAACTGGGCATATAATGTATAATCCAAGACGATCTACAGTTATCACTCTATCTTTTAAAAGGATTGAACAATATAGCTAAAATTTTGGTCATACGCATGAAAAAGGCTTTTATACCCTCCACCAGGCATGTTTGAAACTCATCGAAATAATAATTTTAGACCCAACAAATTATATATATTGTTGACCAGCGTAAAATCCGAAAACGATTTAGCCCTGTTCGTAGGTCCCTCTGTCCATCTGTTGTAATCACGCTAAAATCAAAACGAACAAAGATAGGAAGATAAAATTTAGCACAGATCAGTCTTTTGTCTGCAGGCATTATTGCAGAATGGATGACGCAGAATCGCATACACCATTGTCAGAACGACATTAAATGCATTTATTTGTTAATTGCACACTCCTGAACATTTTTACAGAAATTCGTGAAAATGTCGATATCCCAAAATTTTGACTGTCCACAGAAAAAATAGAACCAATGAGTTTATAGCGGAATGGATGATGCAGAATCACATACGGTGCCTCTATATTCGGTATTCGAATTGTCTAAAAATCCATACTAGAAGTTATTTTTAAGCACTTTACCCTCGAGAAGAGAAATGTCTATATAGGTCGTATAGCCCGCCCGCAATATCGGTACCCCCCGATATTCGGTTTAAGGGACATTATTCAACGTAGTTGTTTCAAATTTCGTATTTAGAATCCGTAATGCGTCGTACAGCCTATGACAAAATATTGCGAACTCAGGCCAACGTCTTCGTATAGCCTCCACATATAACAGTACCTCCCGATATTAAGTATTTTGATGATTTTTGCCACATTTTCCACGGATTTGTCTAAAAATTGGTAAGGGTAAATGGAGTTTTGAATATCTAGGCCCACGTTTTCCTATAGCGCACATATAACGGTACCCACCGATATTCGGTATTTTGTAATCCTAGTCACATTTACCCACGAAATTGTTTCAAATTTGGCATTTAAGAAGATTTGGTAGATAACAATCTTTGAAGTCTAAAGTGGTCTACACAGGTACCCGTTTTGATATGGCCCCTCATATAATGGCTTGATCCACTTTATGGCTTTTTGAAAAGTTTAAAAGCTTGATCCTAACGGTCTTACTGGTATTTGTAGTTTAAAATGGAACATGGAACTCAGATACTTTTATATAAAAATGTTTTCCTCATTAATATGTTTAAAAGCGCACAGAAGCATTCCAGTGAGAATTTTCTAGAAAAAAAGTTATTCGTAATGGAATTCAAGCGTGATAGTATGACTTCTTTATATTTGGCTGGAAAACTACAAGTGGCTATCGTTAGAGCACTCCAGCATTTAAATGTGAAGAAATCTTTTGTATCTCGTACCATGATACTGGTAGCGCAGCCCGACGTCAAGGAAGTGAACGGAAGAAAAAAGCAACATCAGCACAAATGGTTCGAAAAATAATGAAGCGAATTGATCGAAACCCGCGTTGCAGTGGCCGAAAAATGGCTCATGAGCTGAACATATCGCAATATTCCATTCGGCAAATATTGAAAAATGTGCTCGGGGAAAAGCCATTGAAATTCCATAACGTGCAATAACTTACACCGCAACAGAAAGAAAATATACTTTAAAGCGCTAAAGAGTTGCTTCGCTGGGACTCGCAAACATTTTGGCCTCAGACCATGGACATTCCAACAGGACTCAGCACTCAGCACGCGCCACCCAAGAATGGTTATAATATGAGGTTCCTCGCTTCATTTCCAGTGCATAATGGCCTCCAAAATCTCCGGATACCAATCCGTTGGACTATTGTGTCTGGAGTATTTTGGAAAGCAAGGTGGGCTCCGTTTGAAGGCCATAATTCGTGCCAAAGGTGACCACATCGAACAAATCTAAACTTATTCGAAAATTTAAGGCTCTTTCCGACATTTTTTGCTTTCATTTAATAACATTAAAAAAATGTAAAAATTATGGCTGTTGACTTTGTTGCAGTTTTTATACCCTCCACCAAAAAAGTATGGAGGGTATACTAAGTTCGTCATTCAGTTTGTAACTCATCGAAATAATCATTTTAGACCCAACAAAGTATATATATTCTTGATCAGCGTAAAATTCTAATACGATTTAGCCATGTCCGTCTGTCTGTCTGTGTGTCTGACTGTCTGTCTGTCCGTCTGTCTGTCTGTCTGTTGTAATCACGCTATCTTTCGAACAAATTGAGATAGAAGGCTAAAATTTTGCACACATGTATATTTTGCCAGTAGACAGGTTAAGTTCGTAAATGGGCCATGTAGGTCCAAGTTATCATATAGCCCCCATATAACGGTACCTCCCGATATTCGGTAATTTGATGATTTTATCGACATTATTCACCGGAATTGTTTCAAATTTGGCATTTAAAGTTCTTAAGGGATACTACAGCGTAAGACAGAAAATTATCTGTGCAGGTCCACGTCTTCGTGTAGCCCCCATATACCGTTATATTCGGTATTTTGATGATTTTAGCGACATTGTTTACCGGAATCGTTTCACATTTTTATTTGAAGTTCGTAATAGATACTTCATCCTAAGTCAAAAAATGAGTCCCCATATAACGGACCCCCAGATATTCGGTATTTTGATGATTTTAGCGACATAATTTAGCGGAATTGTTCCAAATTTGGTATTTGAAGTTCGTAATAGATACTGCAGCATAAAACAGAAAATGGGCCATGTAGGTCCACGTCTTCATATATCCCCCATATACCGTACCCCTCGATATTCGGCAATTTGATGATTTTAGCGACACTATTTACCGGGATTGTTTCAAATTTTGCATGTGAAGTTCGTAATGGATATTTCAGCCCATGCCAGAAAATTGTCTGTGCAGGTCCACGTCTACGTATAACCCCCATATAACGGTACCCCCTATATTCGGAATTTTGATGATTTTAGATACGTTATAAACAGTTTTTTCTTCAAGTTTCGCATTTAAATATTGCAATAACTTATGACCAAAGTTGCCTATGCAGGTCCAAGTCGTCGTATAAGCATTCGGTATTTGTAAAATTAAAACAGAATTTTTAACGGATTTTATTATTATTATTTTTTTATACCCTACACCACATAGTGGTAAGGGTATTATGTCTTTGTGCATTTGTTTGTAACATGGAGAAGGAAACGAGATAGACCCATAGTTACTTTTGAGAAACTTCATAGAATCACTTTCTGAGTCGATTTATGCATGTCAGTCCGTCTGTCCGTCCGTCCGTCCGTCCGTCTGTCCATGTATTCTTGTGAACAAAATGCAGGTCGCATTTATTATCCGATTGAGATGAAATTTTCCAAACAATATTTTTTTGGCCCAAGGACGAACCCTATTAAAAATTGGTGAGAATCGGATCAAATTTAGATATAGCTCCCATATATATCTTCATCAGATTTCGGGTTAAATGTGCACCAAATATCCACTATCAGTCCAAATTACCTGAATTTTGGCACACCCAACCGAGTTCGGCCTAGAAGCAAGTATATCAAATTTGGAGAAAATCGGTTCAGATATAGCTATAGCTCCCATATATATCTTTCATCCGATTTGGTGTTTAAGCCTCTCACATTCGTAATATGCACTCCACAAGAATGATATTTGGTACCAGATATAAGATACAGCCCAGAAATAGCTGTTTGTTATTTTATCGAAATCGGATCAGATTTGGATATAGCTCCCATATATATCTTCATCCGATTTCGGGTTAATTGTGCACCAAATAGCCGATATAAGTCCAAATGGCCCGAATTTTGGCACATGTTACCGAGATTAGCCTAGAAGCAAGTATATCAAATTTAGTGAAAATCGGTTCAGATATAGATATAGCAACCATATATATGTTTCATCCGATTTAGAGTTTTAATCCCATACCTTCGTAATATTCACACCACAACCGCGATATTTGGTACCAGGTATTAGATGGAGCACAGAAATAGCTGTTTTGAATTTTATCGAAATCGGTTCAGATTTGGATATAGCTCCCATATATATCTTCATCCGATTTCGGGTTAAATGTGCACTAAATGGTCAATATCAGCCCAAATCACCAGTCTAGAAGATAATACGTAAAATTTGGAGAAACCCGGTTCAGAGATAGCTATAGTTCGTAAAATGCACGATAGAATTAGATAGATTTTGATTTTGTACCAAATATCTCATAGAGCTCTGAAATGCCCGCCCGTCTTTTGAGCTTTCCTTACTGTTTTTTTTTTTTTTTTTTTTTTTTTTTTTTTTTTTTTTTTGGAAATTGCAAAATTTTTACCAAATGGTGGAGGGTATTAAAAGTTAGGTCCGGCCGAACTTACAGCTTTTTTGCTTGTTTTTATCTCACCTTGCGTATGGAGGTGCCGCTATATCGAGCATCACAGGCAAGACGTGGAGCTGCATAGACAATTTTACGTTATAGGTTGAGTTTCAAAACGAAATTTGAAACAATTCCTGTGAATAATGTTCTTGAAATAATCAAAATAGTGAATATCGGTGGGGTGGTGTTCCGTTGTATGGGGGCTATTCGATATCGTGGCCCGATATTTTGATATGCTAACCAAATACTATTATCTCCGCTTGGAATTTCCCACCCGCTAGAACATGGCCAAAAAATTGCCGCATGAAAATTATCCATAAGATCTATTGTCCAAATTTCTTTACCATGAAATAAGAGAAACATCCTACAGTTGTCAATAACTGCAAATCAATAGAAGTTAGATGAGGAAAAAATCTCTAAGTTCTACTATATATTTTTTAATCAAGATGAACCATTTTGTTGTAAAAAGGTTTCTGCAATTTCATTATATACAAAAATGTAATAAAATAAAGGTTATGAATTTTGAATAAATAGTGAAATATATCTCCTTATTTAAAAGTATTTTATATCTTTAAACAATTTCATCTGAATCCATGCCAGTTTCAAGCCTTCATTGGTTTGTTCGAATAAAATGTCTGACTTATAAAGATATACAAAATTCAATTCACTCACAGTTAAACATCAAATGAGTTTTCATCTTATTGGCCATTTGGAACAGGCTTTTCTTCTATATCTTTGGAAGACGTATCTTCAACATTGCTCGAAGTCTTGCAGGTCTTGCTTGAAGAATGTATAACAGCAGCACCGGCAAGCACCGACCGATCATCATGATCAAGAACATGTCCTTTTGAAGGCGAGTGATCATTATGGTTGCCAGTGTTGTGCGATCCACTGCTAACATTATGGTTCTTATGGTCATGGTAATCGGCCTTCTTCTTTCGAGAACATCCACAGGAACAGGAATCAATATCAGGTTCTTGCTTGTGCTTATGGCAGTAAGTGTAATTACTTCCACCTTCGTATTTATGATTCTGATACCCACCTTCTCCTTCTCCATTGTCAACTTTTGCTGCTACATTTGCCTTACGTCCACGGTTTCTCAAACGGTGAACAACACAGAGCAGGGCAAACGAAGCATATGTTGCTTTGGCCACCTGTGAAACAAGAGATTTGAGTTTAGCAAAGTTGAAATCATTAGATAAATAGCAGTTATCTTACGTTGGCTCGTCCTTTAACGGTTGTACTGTTAAAAATTTCTGATAATTTGGACATAGTATTTATCAAGGAAAAATGTATTTATGTATATCGCACTTCGAATAATTTTGAAAAATAAATTTGAGAAATTTTGAAAAATTTATTTGTCACTTCACCCGAATCAAATTCAAATTAATTGTATACCATGTTCAGACTTAGAAAGTTAGCCACTATAAGTGTACGAAAAGTACTAAAATGTACTACTGTATTGATACGATTTTGCGTCATGTGAACCGTTAGAGTTAAAGACCTGATATAGGGATCTAGTTTGAGGAGTAGGGTCGATGTGAGGATGTAGTTTTGGAAGTATGTATACTAAAACAAGTAATCAAAGGCTACAGTCGAGCGGGGCCGACCGTTGAATACCCTACAACACTATAATAAACGATACAGTTAATATAGGCGAGATACTCGAAAGAATTCCACAAGATATTGTGACAAATAATAAAAGAAACCTATCAGGTCTCGTTCTCTAATTTTCGAATAATAGCAACTTAAACTAATTTGCTCATTTCCAATTTATTGGTAGATGTTGCACGTAAATGGTCTTCCTAGATCTGGAACCAATATTTCCCAAAGACCTATAATCTCTCAGAAGTGGCAAAAGATTAACATTTATTATTGGTTTTTGACTGAAACCCATCTATACGAGATACAGACATTTGACTATATTCTTCAACGAAATCAGCGTTAACGAAATAGTCAGGAGTGCGTCTTTTCTGTATTTGAGATTTCTCCAAAAAGTCGCTGGAATGGACATTTTCGTATTTAGTCTACAAAAGTTGGCAAACTATTTGGCCATCCGAAACTGCTTGACTTTTGCAATGTCCGGTAACCCCCATAATTACGACCTGCTGACAATTTTGCAGTTTTTTGGTCCATTTCAACCCCTAAATGTATGGCGATCATCTCCAAAAAGAATAGGCTTTTATTCTGATCCTCATCTTATCTCCATGCAAAATTTCGTAAGGATCGGGCCATAAATGCGATATGCATATGATATCCTGATATTCTAACAACTTACTTTTGTGAGCTGTAGAAATATTACCAAATGTTTAATTCAAAATGAAAATATGCCAAAAATATGACAAAAATATGACAAAATTGAAAAAAAATGAGAAAATTTTACAAAATCAATATTTTCATCTTTAGAGAGATATTTTTATGTGATTTTTTAAGACGTTTTTTCTTTCCTGCCAAGAGGCCATTCTGAATTAATGAGAACTATCGAAATCAGTTCAGCCGTTCTCGACATATAAGACATTTTTCAAGCATATCTTCTTTGATAAACATATATATCGCGCATATTTTGCTATATATCCGTTTTGTTGGATGTTATCATCAATGTAAAGATCAGAAGTAACCTTGTCATGGCTTTGCGATTTCGCCAGGATTTAAAATATTCGCGGTTTAATGAAAAATTTTGAATTTTTTCACCAAAAAAAAATATGGTCTATTTTACATCCTAACTATTATCCGATGACCACACAAATGGGTAGGTTCTATTCTGACCCTAGCCCTACCTCCATTTTAAATTTCGTGAAGATAGGACCATAATTGCGACCTGTAGAGTGATTACAAATTAACATGGACAGACGGACAGACGGACAGACGGACGGACGGACATACATAGCTAGATCGACTCAGCTCGGCGAGCTAGGAAGATCCATATATACTTTCCTATGTGGGAAATCAATATTTCGTGGTGTTACATAATTTTTGGCCCAATCAAAGGGTATAAATACTAAACGGTACTAAATTCAGAGAAACGAATGGAGCTGGTGTTGGATTGGGATATGGTTGTAGTTTTCGAAATTTGTATTTATCAGCACGAAAAGTACTAAATGGTACTACATTTGGCACAATTTCGATTTAGGGTGAACCGTTAAAGCTGAAATGCTGAAATTCGGAACTGAAGTAGGTAGGTAGTTGTGAAAATTCGTACTTATGTGTACTACGTGCTACTAAATTTAGTACAATTTGTATTTGGGCGAATTGTTGTGAACCGATAGAGATGGCATTATGCAATTTGAAAATTAACTCTAAATGGGATTTAAGTCTAAGTATTTTTGGAAATTTAGACTTTAGAATTGATATGCAGGTTTTGGAAATTTGTACTTATGTGCACTATATTTGTTACATATTTTTGTGAAGGCGATAGGGGCGAAATCCTAAAATTTGAAAGTGGGATGTGTATGATTGAGGTGAGTACTTAATGCTACCACATTTTATTTATTTTTGGGTTTGGGATTTTTGGGTAGAGCTGGGCCTCAATTCTTGTTCTATGAAAATGTGAAATGAATACTGTTGTAAAGGAAAGAAATGTCAAATGAAAAATTTTATAAAAGGGAATATTTTTCATTTCATATTTTCATAGAACAAGAATCCACTCCCAGGCCTTTGTATAGCTCTGACAGTAACAGTACCTCCCTTTTTGCGGCATTTTGATGATTTTAGCTACACTATTCACCGGTTTCTTCAAGTTTCGTAATGGCTTATGACAAACAATGACTATGTAGGTCCACGTCTTTGTATAGACGTCAATATAATGGCTATATTCGGTATTTATACCCTACACCACAAGGTGGTCAGGGTATTATGTCTTTGTGCATTTGTTTGTAACAGGCAGAAGGGAACGAGATAGACCCATAGTTCCTTTTGATGATCTGCATAGAATCACATTCTGAGTCGATTTATGCATGTCCGTCCGCCCGTCTGTCCATGTATTTTTGTAAACAAAGTACAGGTCGCATTTATTGCCCGATCCAGATGAAATTTTGCAAAGATCTTTTGTTTGGCCCAAGGACGAACCCTATTGAAATTGGAGATAATCGGTAAAAATTTAGATATGGCTCCCAGATATATCTTCGTCCGATTTGCCTTTTATTGTGCACCAAACATGTAATATCAGTCCGAATAGTATAGAATTTTGCACATACAACCAGATTAGGCCTAAAAATAAGAATACCAAATTTGATCGAAATCGGTTCAGATATAGCTATAGCTCCCATATATATTGTTCATCCGATTAGTTATTTTTGTCCTCCGCAGCCGTAATATACACTCTGTAACAACAATATTTGAGGAAATATATCAAATACAGCTCAGAAATACATTTGCTAAATTTTATCGAGATCGGTTCAGATTTAGATATAGCTCCCATATATAACTTCGTCCGATTTACCATTTATTGTGCACCAAACGTCTAATATTTGCCCAAATGGGATGAAATTTGGTACTTACGACCGAATTGTGTCTAGAAGCTAGTATGTCAAATTTGGTGAAGATCGGTTCAGATATAGCTATAGCTCCTATATATATTGTTCATCCGGTTTGTAGTATTTGTTACCCACAGCCGAGATATGCACTCCGTAACAACGATATTCAGGGAAATATATCAAATTAGGCCTGAAAATAAGTATGCCACATATGATCGAAATCGGTTCAGATATAGCTATAGCTCCCATATATATGGTTATATATATCTTTATATATCTTTATCCGATTTTAAATTAATTTTGCACCAAATGGGCAATACAAGACCGAATTTAAAAGATACAAATGATTCGGCATATTTAGTCCTTTGAACTTTAAATTATAATTATAATCATAGCGTGTATGATTGAATTTTCCCATAAAAACTTTTAATTGTTATGTGGAGCTCTACTAAATTAGCAAAGTGGTGTAGGGTATCAAAAAGTCGGCCTCGCCCGACTTTAGGACTTTCTTTACTGGTTTTAAGATTTAAAAAAGAATTTTTAACGAATTTTATTATTTTTTTTTGAAAATTTCCAAATTTTTTTCAAATGGTGGAGGGCATTCAATGTTCGGTCCGGCCGAACTTACTGGTTATACCCTACAACACTATGTGTTGGGGGTACTATAAGTTTGATTGGGCCAAAAATTATGTAACACCTCGAAATATTTGTTTCCCACATAGAAAAGTATATATGGATCTTCCTATCTCCGAGCCGAGCTGAGTCGATCTAGCTATGAGAACCTTTAGTCCATAGTATTTATCCTAGGTAGAAAAAATACTGGTGATTGAAAAAGAAGATGTATTTTAGTGGTAGGGTAGTTTGCGTAGCCAGGATTTGCTTATAACAAACCTATGTATGATGATGGGAATAACGTCGAAAAAAGTAGTTTAGAGTCTCCTATGTCTTTACCCCTTCTTTATCCTTACGTAGAATGGTGTAGTCATGATAACTGTCCTCCTTACAAAGTATGTAGCAGTCAGGATCAATGTTACCACATTTTGAAGTCATATATCTTATACTGCCGTATATACCTTCCGCGATTCTGGGATCAGACCTGGTAATAAATAGAAGGTACCAGGAATATCTTTTCGAGATTGCCAGCCAGATGATTCGACTTTCACCTTCCCATCTGTGTGCTTACCACTGTCTACTTTTGCCATTTGAACAGTTGAACCGACAGCGGCATTCCATATTTCTTAGGTTCAGGATGCGGCCATTGACTGAGAGGATATTGGCAACTCAGCAAACAAAATGTTCTGCCCGGTTCACTCGTTGACTCACCTTTTACACCGTTGTAACAGTTTGAGTTGATGAAGCAACTGATGTACTCAGTGATCTGAGTCAGTTTTGATGGTTTAGAGAAGGGCTTTGCCTTGATTTTTTTTTGGTTTGAAGGGTTGTTCGTCATTTTCTAGCGTCTTAAAGGCTTTCTTGGAACGGAGCTAAGGCCTTGGCTTCTTCAATACCACCTTCCCAGATAAGCCCTTCTTGGGGCCTCGACAGGTTTCATCACAGATCTACAGCTGCGTGTCATATTGAAGATGCCCTTAAGATTGTTTTCTTCGAACTTCCTAACGGACTTCAGCTTTGTTCCGATAATCTGCAACAGTGAGTATCGACGAATCACCATCAACGTATCGAAACACACCCTCCACCATTTTATAGAGAGTGTAAATTTCGAAGACGATTTAGCCCTGTCCATCCATCCGTCTAGAGTCAAAACGAATTAAGATAAGAAGTTCAAATTTTGCACAGGTCAGTCTTATGTCTGCAGGTTGGTCAAGATGGGATATACCAGTCCAGGATATCGTATAACCCCAGTATAACGATACCCCTGCATATCCTGTATTTTAATGATTGTAGCCAAATTTCTCAACGGAATTGTCTAAAAATGCACACAAGGTGTTCCTTCTGAGTACTTTGCCCTGGAAGAGAATTGTCTATCTAAGTCCACGATATCATATTTCCCCATATATGTACCTCCCGATATTCGATATTTTGATGATTGTTCTCAAATTGTTCAATGGAATTGGCTGAAAATCCAGACAAGGAGTTCCTTCTGAGTACTTTATCCCCTGGAAAAGAACTGTCTATATAAGTCCACGATATCGAATACCCCCATACAAAGGTTTCTGCCGATATTAAGATTTTAGCGGCAGTATTCACGGGAGTGATTTCAATTTTTGTATTTGAAGTTCGTAATGGGTACCTCAACCTATGACAGAAAATTGTCTATGCAGGTTCACGTCTTCGTATTGCCCACATATAACGGTAAAAACTTGATAGCCCACCCTAATATTCATTGAGGAACCCAGGTATTGGCACTTGGGTGTTTAGATTAACACTTTTCCCCATATCATTCCCACTATTCGCAACCGTATCAAATGATACATATATTTAAAAGGGGGAATTACTGCTGATTCTGTTAAAAAATAGCTCAGTCTCTAAATATCGTAGGGTAATTTTATGAAGAAATATTTAAGAATGTTGCCATCTCGAACTAATTGCAAATACGAAATGTTCAACTTATCATATTAGAATTTAAAGATTCGCTTCCTAAAGAATAAAAATCAATTTTGTAAGAATATGCAACTATTTATTTATACTCCACAGATACAAAATATGCAACCTTGCGATTTATTTCAAAGGTTATTGAATACAACTTGGCGGATTTTTATCCGTATATTTTAACCTGCATGATTTTACCAAGAACCTCTGCCGCCATGACCGCCCTTATTGGCCCATCCATTTCCTCCTCCGCCACCGTGTTTGTTTCCCCAACCACCGGAGGAGCCGCCATTACCACCATAGCCACCATGATTGCCGCCAAAGCCACCATTGTTGCCACCACTCCAACCATTGGATCCTCCATTAGCACCATGGCCGCCATAACCACCAAATCCTCCTCCACCGCCGCCATTGTATCCACCAAAGCCACCATGTCCACCACCGCCATTGCCATAACCGCCTTGTTTATTGGCCCAAGGATTTGAGCTAAAACCGCCTCCATATCCACCGCCACCATTTTGTTTATTTGCCCATAGATTGTTAGAGCCACCACCACCTCCATATCCACCGCCACCGAAACCTCCTTGTTTATTGCCCCAATGATTGCCAGCGCCAAAACCACCTCTACCACCTGATCCTCCTGCTGACACCGTGGCAACTAAAATTGCGGCAATCAAAAATCCTGTTAAGCGCATCTTTTCAGCTAATGTTTTAAGATATGTTTCCAAAGATGCCTTTAACAAATTCACAAATGAACTGTGTCGATTAAGATCCAATCATAGAACTTTATATATGATTTCAATCAAGTAATTTTGATATCATTATTGTTGTTGCTGTTGCATACAAAGCATTTCCTTTTTTATGATGGAACTTAAGTACATGGTAATTAATTTTGTCCGACTTTTACTTTCAAAAATCTACCTTTCGAAAAAAACATAAGATGTGGGAGATTTAAAGGCTTAGAAGATATTTTGTACCCTACCACCTTTGTAATAATACAACAATTAGGAAAAAATCAAACAGATTATCAATTCCGTGTGTAGGGTAGGTGTAGCCACTTACCGAAGTGTGTCTATGTTGGAGTATGTAATAAATGGTTCATCCACGTTTTTTAAGTTTTTTTTTTTATGGTATAATTACATAGTCCCTAATCATTCAATTGGCCACCCAAGCATTAACATATAATCTTCTTTTTACTAACAGGGTGAACCAAAAGTCGTGACTCTGAAAAGAAATGTTCTGTTTTTCAGAAGCTTAAAATATTATATGTGGGATTTCGAACGGTCAAAAACTATGTGAGGTATAAAATTAAGTATTTCAAACATATTTGGGGTGAAAAATCCATTTTGGGAATGATTGCCATTTCTATCATAAATTTTACAGTCGTAAGCGTCACATTCAGAACTACTAATAAAGACAAATATATGCCCTCTGCATAATGAATATGCCAAAAATAATGACAACTACATACTTTCCTCATTACCAAGAAGTTAAAGAATAATGAGATATACCAAATCTGATAAAAAAAACTAAGTGAAAAAGCAGTATGTTAAGCCGGATTTAAATTTGAAAGAAATTTGCACATTTTCAAAATAAATCCGTTGAAAAATAATGCTAAAACATAAAAATATGAATATATAGAGAGTTACCGTTATATTTGAACCTTACACCAATAAATGGACCTGTAAGCCATTTCCAAATATTCAAAATACGAAACTTGAAACAATTTCGGTGAATAATGTCGCTAAAATCATCAAAATACCGAATATAGGATGGAACCGAGGTATAGCCCCCTAAGAAGACTTTAAGAACTTTATATTCCAAATTTGAAACGTTTAACTGAAAAGTGAGGCATATATCATCAAAATACCTCGAGGAGACTATAACAAAACATAGACCTATATTGACAATTCTTTGGGTATTTTCAGCTTTTTTTATACCCTTCACCATTCATAATATCCAAAATAATAATTTTAGATCTAACTCTAAATATAAATATTCCCGACCAGCTGTTGTAATCTAGAGACAAAACGAATTAAGATAGGAAACTAAACTTTTACACAGAGTAGTCGTTTGTCTGCAGGCAGGTCAAGATGGGTCCACGTTATCGTAAAGCACCCATAAAACGGTACCCCTGATATTAAAATGAGATGACTCCAAAAATCATATCTTCATGCGAAATCTAATGAAGTGAATTGAAAAAATTGGAAACGAATCTCACATTTTACATAAGCTAGCAGTCAAACATTTTTAACCTTTTGGTGGTACGAGAAGCGATGGGCCATTATTTTCCATGATCGCTACGGAATTAAGTTTAATATAAATAAATACTTCGAACCGATAATGGTTTATTTCGGGTACTCTTTTTATAAAAATATATAAAAACAAGTAAAATAGTATCAGTCGGTTTTGCCGACCCCAGCCTTGAGTTATGAACGTGACAGATTTCGACTATATCGACTACTTCATGTACTTTATATGAGATATGTGCACATTTTCGAAAAATGGAAATATGCGTTAGGTAACATTTTCATACTTCATCTAATACAGATAAAATATATTGGTATGTGCAAAATTTAAAGGAAATCGAACATTCATATCCAATTTTATGCGAAATCATAAATTCCGACAAATTACATATTCATATCAGAATACTGATTAAGAGAAATATTTAGATATAGCAAGTTGTAAACCTCTTTCGCAAGTTATGACAGTTATAAGTTGGCAGATACACATCATCTTCACAACAGATCTTGTGTTAGAAATAATTTCTGTATATGGGAAATTTGAGGTACCAGAAGGAGTGGACCGAATAAAATTAATGGGATATGTGAAATTTGAAGGCAATCGGTCTCTTAAATCATCCAAGTGTGAATAGAATCGGATGTTAATTTTGCGTTTTATGAGCTTCATGGATACTCAAAAATTTGACCCTTTGTGGGGGATGTACCAGAAGGGTGGATATATCCCATCTTCACACCAGATCTTGAGTTGGTAGAAATAATGGGACGTGTGAAATATGAAGAGAACCAGATGTTTATTTGGGATTCTTCGCTCGTTTTAATTATTCAAAACTCAGATCCTTTGTGTGGGAGGTACCAGAACGAATGGTCCGATCTCTTCCATCTTTATAAAAGATCTTGCGTTTATGAAAATATTGATATGTGCCAAGTCTGAATGGAATCGGATGTTAATTTAGTGTTTTAATAGCTTGAGAGATATTCAAAATTCCGGCCTTATGTTGGGGGGGGTGTACTTGATGGAGTGGACCGATATTATCAATTTTTGCACCTGACCTAGAACTGACGTAAATATCAGGAAAGATTGCAAAGATTGAGCAAAATCGGATTATCGTTTCTCTTTCTGTGCAAAAAAAAATATATTTTTTTTTTAATTTCGACCATTTGTGGGGGAGGTACTTGATGGAGTGGACCGATATTATCCTTTTTCACACTTGACCTAGCACTGACGCAAATATTAAGATTTGCAAATTTGGAGCAAAATTGGAATACCGTTTCTCTTTCTGTCCAAAAAATATTTTTTTTTTTTTTTTTGAAAATTTCGACATTTTGTGGGGGAGGTACCAGAAGGAGTGGACCGATATTGCCCATCTTCAAACTCGATCTAAGTTTGACAAAAAGCTTACGATGTATCAAGTTTGGACCAAATCGGATACTCCCTTCACCAGCCAGACAGACGGAGGGACGGACATCGCTAGATCGACTCCAAATGTTCTGAAATGGATTTGGTCAAAAGAGACCTAGGGTCTAAAACCGTTATTTCGACTAGGCACGTTTTAACCGTATCAAATTATATATACCCTCTGTAGTCATATGGCTGAGGGTATAAAAACTGCAACAAAGTCAAACGCCATAATTTTTATATATTTTATGGATATTCCAATCTCACCGACCATCGGCTGATATGGTGGCCCACACTATCACCATGGTCGCGCTTGAGTTTTGGTGGCCAACCGAAGGTGCACATTTTCTGCTGACCTCTTTGGCAAGTAAACACGTTAATTTTGTTTGTTTACAAACTGCCGGACAACGAATGGTTTCTCACTTTCGGCCAAGCGAAGCAACTCTTTAGCTCTTTTGAGTCGATTTTCTTTCTGTTGCGGTATACGTTCTTGTACTTTTTGGAAATTCAATGGCTTTATCCCGAGCTCATTTTTCAATATTTGCCGAATGAAATATCGTGATATGTTCAACTCACGAGCCATTTTTCGGCCAACTTTCCTTACGGTATTTTTTTTTTTTTTTTTTTTTTTTTTGACGCTGTTATTGCAGAAGGTATGAGGTTGCCTTACTAATTTTGTTAAAAAGGCACATGCGCCTATGAAACTTGTAATGGTAAGTAGCTCTTACTTTTTATCCACCCTGTGCTTGTGCATCACTATGCTGAGCACTCAACATCTACATCATGATTTAACAATTAATATATTTTATGAACTGTTAAAATGGGTTTTTAATTAATGACTAATGGCATTTTTTCGATTTGTTTCAACCTTAAATAATTAATGCATTGTTGCTGTGTGCTTTATTCGCCAACATCCATATTCGTGAGAATCGCATAAAATATAAAACAATTAATTAAATCGTAATTAATGGAAATTGCTCTTAAACTGTAATAAATGTACAAAGTTTCTCTAACATGTAGGTAGGGAAGTGAAATTCAATAAAATATGAATTACAAAATAGATGTGATACGATTTGAAAATGAAAGGCTCTCGAACTTAAACGACTGTGTATTGATTTTTATCCTGCATAATACGATGTATTAATCAGTATTTAAAAAAAGAAATATTTTTCAAACTTAAATAACTAGCTGGCCCGACCCGCGTTGCCGGTCCCTACTTTTAGTTTTTAATGCATATTTTTTAAGGCATTATAGAACACTGATCTGAATGAGTTCAAAATAGTCAAAGATAATTGGTCTTTTACACCCATTACCTTAAGATAGGAATTAATTTATTTTTGTCATTTAAATTGTGTGTTGGAAAACCCATAAAGTCCATATATATATGTATATTTCAATAACGATCCAAAAAATAATATTCGTGATTTTTTCATGTTTCTGCCACAATTTGATATTTCGGAGTTCAAAGCATGTAGACGTACATCCCACTTCTACGTTCCCAGCCAATATTCTCTTCAGAGTTAAAAATTCAATAGTATACCAATTTTTTTTTCTGACCAAACATTGGTTAGGAATTTGGATTTGCGGGTACACTAATGTGGGAACTATACTTAATAAAATGCCTATGTGGACAATTATCTGTAAGACGATTCTCTATCCCAGAGTAGCCTAAATACAATTTTTTAGCCAAATCAATTGATGAATGTGATCAAGACCAAGATGGACTCTACTCCAAAAGTCAAAATATTATGAGAAGAGGTTTTTTACACCCGTAGAAACAAAGATGTCAAATAAAGGCCTGAAAAATGAAAGAAAAATGTCGAAAACCCCGAATATAGCTTAAATTATATAATGGTTATACCAAAACGTGATCATTTTTTGCGAGGATGGTTTCTTCTCAAATTACCAACTTTTGCTAAAATGCGTATGAGTAAAATATGGTTAAAATGTAAACTATACTTGAAAAAGGAGTGTACCCTTATCCGGTGGTCATATATTTAAGATATCTTGAAAGTTTTTTTTTCCTAAATGTCCAATTCGCTCTACCATTTTGCACCATTTTGCTCCAATGAATTGCATTTTGAGTTCTCATTGGGCGGATTATTGTAATATGAAAGAAATAGGTTCACAT